AGAGCTATGGTGAGGATGATGTGTGGGGTTAAAGTGAAGGATAGGAGGAGTAGTACAGAGCTGATGTCAATGATGGGACTGAATGAGGACATTGTGACATTGATAAGGAGATCGATATTGCGGTGGTATGGACTGTGTTGAGAAGGGATGAAAGGGTCGGGATTAGGCGAGCGTTGGAGTTCGAGGTTGAAGGAGTGGTAGGAAGGGGTCGTCCGCGATTGGGATGGAGAGAGCAGGTGGAGAAGGACAGGGTGAAAGCAGGGTTGCGTGATACTGAGGCGAGTGACAGATGTGGATGGCGTCGAGGGGTATTTCGGTTTCATCATAGGTAGCCAAACGGCAACCCCCGATCTCGGGGAAAATGCCGTCTAAACGTGTGTTGTTGTTGTGTATACAACATTGTTTATGTAAGTAATGAATATATACACAAATACATGCACATATAGATTGGATTATATCATTGAAATATCAGACGTTACCTGGAACATATTATGTATTTCAGTTATATGATGATTTAAACCAAACTGTACGTGATAGAAAAAATGGATTATATATTTGAAATCAACACATTGAAATCTATTAGAAAAAGTTTCATTTTTGAAACATCTGATATCATGCATACAAGTTTAATCAATGAATCATTAAGAATATGTCTAGGGGCATATAGAACGTCACCTTCTATTAGCCTCCACATTTTAGCAAATACCTATGAATATAAGAAATCTAAAATAATCATTAAATTACTACATCAAGGTTTTAACACAACCGACAATATTTGTGCATCAACCAATCAAAAGCAATATAATAAACTCAAGATTGAAGAACGACTTAAAAATAATCAAGTACTTAAAACCGATGAAGGAAGTTACCATACCAATACGTAGGTCATCAATAGAGCATTTGTCGATGTATCGTTGAAAGTTCAAGATAAGATACAATTTAAGTAAATGTTATGTTCAAAAAATTAAATCAAAAATATAAATAATAAAATAGTCAAACTACATCAAAAAATCAACAATTCAACAACTGCAGCAATCATCAATCATAAAATTACATTCCTGCAACATTTACCATTTATTATCAAATCTAGAAGAGATACAACAATATAAACAAAAACACCCTTTGATAATCTGAATTCAAACAAAAATTCACATCATTTTAATTGAAAGTAAAAATTTAATAATAACATGGAAACCAAGCCATATAAGCATTGAAGAAAATGGGTAAGCAGACAATGCAGCTACATTGGCCCACTCTTTCTCAATTTCCAACTTACCACTACCATGTAATGATATTAAACAATCTGTAAAACTCTCACTAAAAATGGCAGGTACATTGGAATGGGTACAACAACATCGTTCATCTAATCACAACAAAATTAACGAAAAGGCAAACAAAAAAATTATCGACGATCAAATTTTTCCAAACAAAAATAAACAGAATAAAAATAAAACATACAAATTTAACACTTGAATTTTCAACAAAAAGCCATCTCTCAAACTTTCAATCCAATATATCCTAATGGAATACAAAAATGTGACCAATTTAGAAGAAAATATAAAAAGACACTCCAAAATTTGTTCCAAGACCAAAATATCATCCAATATAATACTTCCATTCATTACAGAATACAAACTACAAAGTTGAAAATCCACGTCAATAATAAAGACGCTACCAGCGACCAAATATATACCGTCAACAAAAACATCATTAACAAATATAAAAAAGCGAAAGACGAAAAATCTGTAAAAAATCTGTCAATCAATTAGCATTGATTGACAGATTGAATAAATGATCATTTAATCGGTACCACAATATACATACATGTCTGCGATTGAGTTGAGTACTTATTGTAGATTTTTGTTGAGCAATTTTCTATTTAGCTACCACAAGTTGTCTATACATTTTCAACTGTAATCAATCAATCTTCGTTTAGCGTCCAGAGATCCAGTTTCCCGAGGTAGGACGTTGTTTTCTTTGCCATCAACTTTTTGCGCCAAATTAGACGATCAGTTGTATCCATTTCATTTAAATTCAGAGCTTTCATGTCTTGCTCGATTGTTTGCGATCAGGACTTCTTTGGACGGCCTTTGGGACGTGTGCCAGGTACTTCAACATCCGCAAGAGAAGTTATGGCACTGTTTTCACTTCGTTTGACATGACCAAACCACCGCAGACGGTGTTGCCGGCATTCGTCCTTTATATCATCTAAACCAGCACGATGCAGGATTTCGGTAGATTTGATGTGGTCCTTCAGACTAATTCGTTGCATCCATCGGAGTATTTTCATGTCGTTTCGTTGAAGTTGTTGTTCCAGTTTGGTTGTCATTGGCTATGTTTCTGCACCATATAACAACACCGGACGTATCAAGATTTATAAGTTTTGATCGTAGTGGTAGTGGGTAGTTTTACATTTTCAACTGTAAAAATGTAAAATACGTTGAAAAACACATTTAATATAATAATATGCTCTTTCTGATGATAAGATTCTGTTGATGTTCTTTGTCTTAATTGTTCAATAAACGCATCAATTTTATTGTGTTAAAAATCGTTTCCTATATGGGGTTTACTTAACATTTATAAACTTCTATCTTTCAATTTATTTGTTAAATGGTTCAAAAATAAAAAATGAAAAAAGGTAACGTAAATAAAATAACCTTTAATGGGAATTTAATTTTTGAGGGAAAGACAAACTATAAACTGAAACGACTTTTATTCAGTATGGCGAGTGATTAGGTTTAGTTGACAGAAGAAAAATAAAATTATTCATAATCTAATTGAAATTTTTTTTTGAAGAACGGGTTTATACCACTGCATATTGCATGTAAGAAGAATCGTATAGCTGTTGTTAAGTTACTTATATCCTACAACAAAGACTCATTGCAAGCAAAAACAAATGTAAGTTGTATTTAACATTCGTCCATTTAACTTTTAATTTCATTTCATAAAACTTTAATGACGATTAGGAATAGTATAACACTGGTATGCATTTTAAAAAATTTTTAGGTGTCTCAAATATTTTAATTGTTTTAATATAATTCGAGCACGCTGATTTCAAATATGTACGTGAAATATTTTTTCACAAATTCAATTTTAACATTTTAATATTTTACTGATTTTTAACATTCTATTTTCACGATTAATTACAAAACGAATTGTTCAAAATAATAATTAGTTCATTTTTTTATAAAAAAAATAAATGAAATGTAAAGTACATAAAGCATAAAACTTCAAATTAAGGACAAAAAAATCTTCTTGACTTTCCCCCACATACTTTAGCCGTCAAATAATACCTTTTCAGCATCCAACAATAGTCCGCCATCATGTTAACATTCCATTGTCTTTGATATATGATTTCTGTTGTTTTAATGTCTTGGAGAAATTTTTTACCCATTTTTTCATTATTATTGCCAGAAAATAATCCAAATATAAAAATAAAAAGTGAATTTTTAGGCTCATTCAACATCTTAATTTTTGGAATGCAGAACGTAGTTTGTTTTGAAAAATTCGTGCACCACACAGCTCTATAACTAGTCCATGCATTAAATTCCAATTCATTAATTTCTCGTTACTGATTTTTTGAAATTTGGTACAAATATATGCAACACTTTTTTGTCGAACGCTTTCACAAACTGCTTCATCAATCCAAGTTTAAATATGAAGAGGAGGCAAGAGTATTCTATTTGGTTCGACCAACTTAGGAAATTTAATAATTTTTTGCCTGGTTAAAAATTTGTTCGTGATGACCAATATTTTTTTCCCCAGTGTTCTTTATCTGCTCTGCTATCTCACTCACATAAAAGACATGGAAGTTTAGTATAGCCTCCTTGCTGGCCTAGTAGAGATCACCACATATAAACCACAGTGTTAAAACCAAATCATTGACGAATGACACCAAAAGCCAAGCGTCTGACTAAATTTGATTTTATTTGCTATAACGTCACTCAACCCCGTCGGCATTCAACTCCACATTTTCCAACACACAGACGCGCAAAAACCGCTGCAGAATGCACGAGATATTATTCACAGTACGTGATGTTTTAAAGAAGCAATGCCATGTTGGCATAAGTTTCTTTCAATTGAATAGAATATGCAATTGGCACAAATGCATAAATATTTCTATTATGCAATTATTGGAACATACTATGAAGGTCATGGAAAGAATCTTGGAACATAAGCGTTCGGTTGTTGGAAAGAAGTGAAGGCTTTTGATACTAACCGATATGCAGCGATGGAGATATCAATTAATTAAATTTAGTGTTACTATTAGTTATGGATTATTTATTTTGTTGTAAGTAAAGAAGAACTCGATGTTGTTTGAATTCAATTTCTTTATTACAATCACATTAATCCTCCCTTTACGCGTCGCGTTTCTGTGAAAAATTAATTTCAGTAAAAAGTTATATTTATAAGTAAATACACTTATTAATTCAAAAATTGTTTTATAAAATCTCCGTAGATAATAGTCAGCAATATGATTAAATTATTTAGAATAAAATTTATAATTAAAATATCGTAATTTATAAAATTTATTTATAAAAAAGATTTTAGTATATAATTCCAAGTAATATATCTAAAATTCTTTAAAACCAGTTGCGTGAAATGAAAATCTCCTCGACAGATATTCTTTCTTTAAAAGTTAGTCGCTGAGTGATAACTCGTCAAAATCATAATCGCATGGAATTCTAGCTGATACCATCTGGAACTCAAACTGGCATATGCATTTCAACCGTTTTTGGCTTGTATATGTTTTGCCATGTTAGTTTAATAACAACAAGGAAACGTTTGTCTGAACGAATATTTTATTTAATCGGTCAACAGCACAAAAAATTATTTTACAAAAATTTAATGATATACAAACGAAATAAAATCACTTTAATTCAATAACTTATTTAATTTACGTTTTTTTATATCTACATTTGATTTAATATTTACATTTTCATTTATTGTTTTTACTAAATTTTTTGACAAGAAATTCAAAAATTATTCTACAACAATTTTTTTAATGTTATGACAGTTATCTTCTAAATAAATAAAAAGAAAGGCATTGTATGACGCTACGTCAAGAATCCAAAAGAAAAGAGCTAATGGCCAACGATGGCTGATTCGCTTGCACGTGTAGTTTGTAATGACCTGATCAAGACGATCTACCCCACCTTTTGTTGCATTGTAATCTAATACAATTTCTGGTTTGCAAGTCCTATCATCATCACATTTGTTATCTTTGTGCATGGTGCTAAGAAGTAGAACTGCAGGGTTGACTTAAGGAACAAAACTACATAATGTGATATTATCATGGAACCAAACAATGTTGATAATGGAGCACGTTTGCGGTTGGGTAAGAAAGAAGGAGGAATTTGGCGCTTATTTTTTCGTAAAGTTCCCAAAATAGTTATATTCTTATGCAAAAATTCCTCTGGATAATGGATAATATTTCTTCCTGTACCAACGATAGATTGTGACAAATCACGCACTACTCACTGTGGTTGCCCAACCTCAACTGCTTCACTCAGTTTGCCCGAATATACTTGCCCAGTTATGAAATACCCATTTTCAGCGTCACATATGGACCAAACTTTCAATCCATATTTGCACGGCTTGGAGGGCATGTAAACCTTGAATGAACAACGTCCTCTGAAAAAAACTAGACTTTCATCAATCGTAACATAACGTATACAAGCATCGGAAAATAAAGAAAAACAAGTCCATATTGGAGCCAGTTTTTCTTCTGGTTCCAGCCGTCTCTGATTTCTGGTAAGCGTTATCAAAACGAATGCAGCAGGTAATTTCTTTAAATCTTAGGCGTGACATAGAAGCACGAAATAATGGCAATCTTGATTTTGTACTACACAAGTCATCGGCAGATTGAAAATGAATTTTCATACCTCCCGCGTAAATCAAAATACCAACAAATGCACGTAGTTCAATTTCAGTCAACGGTTTCCAGGCATTTCCAAGTAGAAAAACACCTTTTTGGTTTGCACTATCTACAATATCTCTCGGGAGTGATAAAATAATCAAACGAATTCACAGAAAGTGGGGCACTAAAAACGTCATGCGGGCCAGGCTTACCGCTAAATATGTTATACGCTTTTTTTTGTGTGGCTTGTTAGGCACTGTGTTCCATCTTTTCCAACAAACATGCCATCTTCTTCATCATTACTTTCAGACAGGCTTTCTTCACATGATACGGCATTTGTGCTATCTGCTTCATCTTGTCTTTCAAACTCGTTATCAGAATAGTTCGAATCGACATTGTTTCTCTCATCACTGCTGGCCGATTCAATAATATTGTCATCCTCGTTTAATAGTAAAGATAAATTGACTGATTAGTGATAAAATCGAAGCAAAAAATTTTAATGGGGTGTACTTGCACCCCTCTTGGCCAAATATGTTTCACAAACCAAAGTTTTTATCAACTGCTATAACGCAATAAAACGTTTATTTTTAACATTTACAGCATAACTCGATTTTGCAGTATAGATTTACTTTTTATTTTTGTGAAGTAAACAAAATACACCGGCGATTGAGTCAAATTTTAACAACACATTTTTGTTTTATTATTTGGTGTGAAGATGGCTAAGTGATTATACAGTACTAGCAAAGTGTTGGATAAAATCATAAACGAGGATGACAATATTATTGAATCGGCCAGCAGTGATGAGAGAAACAATGTCGATATATTTATTTATTTAAACCTTTTTCTGCAATAAAAACAAAGGTATCTAAGATAATTAACATAAAATTAAAATTGTTTAAAATGATGTACTAAATTAAATATAAGAAAATCTTTAAGGCAAATATGTGTACGTTGTTGCGGTTGCGTTTGATGATTGAGAGGACACCGAAGTAGCGAGCGGGAGAAGAAATGAATAGTATTCGTTTTGATAGGCTAGTCACGTGTTTCGTGCCTACCGGGGACTCACCAGCAGCCCGAATACTTATCAGAATAGTTATCGCAATTTCTTATAAAGCCCGCACAAATCACCTCGTTAGTTCGTGGTGTTTTATTTATTAATCTTTTAGTCGCTAGGATTTTCAATCCGACAACGTACAACCTCAAATGACCTATAACAATGAGGCTCGTACAACACAAGCTCACATGCTACTAGCTTGCTATTACTTTAGCTAGCCGAAAATGGTAGATGTTCACAGTGGCGGATCCATAGGGGGTCGATCGCCCCCCCCTACTGAAAAAAAAATTTCTAGTTTATTTTTGTCAACTCTTTATTACTGTTTATAAGAAAGCATGCAATGTCATCAAAAACTTTCAACTTTTAATGTCATAAAATAATAAATGTAATGATTTGGATCAAACATAGTCAATATATACATATGAGTACATACATAAATATAAAAAAATTATTTTCCTTTTTTTAATCCTATAAGTGTTTTAAAAAATGGGTTTATTTATTTTATTAGACTAGCGAGGTACCTACTACCTTGATAGGTTGACTAATAACAATTTATAAAACAAATTCTATTTTACGATTTCCTGACTTCGCAAAACGCTCAATTATATTTTCAACATTTACTAAAACGTCTCTGTGTACATTAAGTAGTGCCAATCCGACTAATCTGTCTTCTGTCATTCGTGTTCTTAGCCATGTTTTAATTCTTCGCAGAGTTGAGAAGCTACGTTCAGCACTGGCAACACTAACTGGACATGCTTTAATAATACGGAACAACTTCTGAGTGATTGGATATTGTACGGGGTCACACAAATGAAAAACAACAGAAAGATCAGTTGTCAGTGATTTGACTCCTCCTCCGTCCTTGTTCATTCTAAAGCATTTGCTCTGCCACAATTCAACTTCCGATATAAATTCAAGTTGGGTACTAAGTCCAAGAATGGTACCATAGAAATTACTGATTGCTGAAACAGATTCGACAACATCTTTATGATTTAGTTTAATAATATTTTCTGGCATCAAAGAATAGATTTGGAGACACTGCAAATTTTCTTTAGAAAAACGAGTATTTATATCCAATATCAGTGCATCAAGAAGAGGGATGTAAACTGATCGCCTGTAATATTCTTCCAATGAATCAGAAGGTACATTTTCACGGCATGTCTGTCGATGCACAAATCTTTTGTAGGTAAAAGTGCCATCTTTTTCAATTATTATTTTTTCTGCTGCTCTAAAAATTTCCAAAAACATTTCTTCGCAGTTTTCTCTCTTTTTTTGTAAAACATTTAACAGGTCTTTAATGCAATTTTCTGCATCAGGTAAATTTAAACTTTTTTTTTTGAAACAATTCACTGAGGCCCTTTGTTAGAGAGAATACATGCACAGCACAGCCTAAGGACACAATAAAATCACTTTCTCTAATTGCTGTTAATAAAGTTGTTGCTTTTGATGAAGTTGTTCTGTCATTCCATTTAGATATATTCTTTAGCGCATCAATTATTTGTGGAAGTTCAATACTAAACATCAGCAATGCATCATGTCTCTCAACCCATCGTGTT